TTCATAGATCTGGAGTTCCCAGTGTGGACACAGGTCTTTGGCTTCAGTCTACCACATCACCTGACACCCCTCCACCCCTCGTGGAACCTCCAGGAAGGTATCCCTTGCTTTGGGTTGGGAAGGGAGGTCCTAGAGGACAATTGAAAACTCCATGCAAGAAAGGGGAAGATTGTTGCCGGGCGCGGTGGCTCACGCCTGTAATCCTAGCACTCTGGGAGGCCGAGGCCGGCAGATTGTTTGAGCTCAGGAGTTTGAGACCAGCCTGAGCAACAGCCAGATCCCCCATCTCTACTAAAAATAGAAATAAATGAATTGCCAACTAAAAAATATATAAGAAAAAATAGCGAGCATGGTGGGCACGCCTGTAGTCCCAGCTACTGGGGAGGCTGAGGCAGGAGGATTGCTTGAGCCCAGGAGTTTGAGGTTGCTGTGAGCTAGGCTGATGCCATGGCACTCACTGTAGCCCTGGCAATGGAGTGAGACTCTGTCTCAAAAAAGGAAGGAAGAAGGAAGGAAGGAAGGAAGGAAGGAAGGAAGGAAGGAAGGAAGGAAGGAAGGAAGGAAGAAGACTGAAGTGGCCTTAAGTCCCTGCAGGGGGCTTTTGCTGGGCATGGCAGCTCCCGATGGTGGCCGGTTCTGTCCAGGCAAAAGGGATGCCACTGCAGAGCAGCGTCCCCAGCTGAGGAACTGCACCCTTTCTTCCACCTGCCAGCAGGATCGATTGTCAGGCAGCACAGACACCCTCAGGGAGGCCCCAGGGCCTTCAAGAATCAGCGAGACTTCTCCACACTTGGCCAGACAGGAGCAGCACGCATGCGCTCCTCCCCTCCGGTTCTTCCGGGACCCAGGTGGTTATAGCTGCCACATTCTGAGGACTTAGCCCAGAGGCCCTCTGCTATGCACACGCCTACCTCATTGCATGTCTTCCTCACTGAAATTTCCCACCGGGAAAGTGAGTCCCTTTTACAGATGAGCCAGTGCGACTCAACAAGGTCCTAAGACTGGTAGCCAGGAAGTGGCAGGGTGCAGATCCAACCCAGGTCTTTTTTTTCTTTGAGACAGAGTCTCGCTTTGTTGCCCAGGCTAGAGTGAGTGTCGTGGCGTCAGCCTAGCTCACAGCAACCTCCAACTCCTGGCTTAAGCGAACCTCCTGCCTCAGCCTCCCGGAGTAGCTGGGAAACAGGCATGCACCACCATGCCAGGCTAATTTTTTCTAATATATTAGTTTGCCAATTAATTTCTATTTATGGTAGAGACAGGGTCTTGCTCTTGCTCAGGCTGGTGTGGAACTCCTGACCTCGATCAATCCACCTGCCTCAGGCCTCCCCAGAGTGCTAGGATTACAGGCGTGAGCCACCGCGCTGACCCAAACCAGGTCTTTCTGACGCTAATCTCCACAGCCTCTCCCACTATGCTGCTTCCCGTCAACTTCCCCACCTTCCCACTCGTTTAGACTGCACCTCGCCCAGGCCCGGAAATTTATTTTTAACTTTATGTCTTTATTTTTAATAGGTCCTATATTTAAATAGTTCAAAACACATAAGTTACAAAACAGTATCCCATGAAAATCTTCCTTTCATTATTTGATCCCCAAATGGCCGGGCTTGGTAGCTCACGCCTGTCATCCTAGCACTCTGGGAGCTCGAGAATGGGTAGACCGCTCAAGGTCAGAGTTCGAAACCAGCCCGAGCAAGATCGAGACCCGTCTCTACTATAAATAGAAAGAAAATTAATGGCCAACTAAAAATATATAGAAAAAATTAGCCGGGCATGGTGGCGGCATGCTGTAGCCCCAGCTACCTCGGGAGGCTGAGGCAGGAGGATCGTTGAGCCCAGGAGTTGGAGGTTGCTGTGAGCCAGGCTGACGCCACGGCACTCACTCTAGCCTGGGCAACAAAGTGAGACTCTGTCTCAAAAATAAATAAATAAATAAATAAATAAGTATTTGATCCCCAAGCATGTAATCCCCCTTCCCAGAGGCAGCCAATGTTATGTGTCCTGTATATCCTTCCATATATACATTATGCAAACTAAGTAATTATGCATAGACACTCCTTCCCCGCCCTTTCAGCAAACGACAGGAGTATTATACACACGGCTCTGCGCTTGCATTTCGCATAAACGAAGTGTTCTGGGGACCATTCCATGTCTAGATGTAAATCGCTCTTCATTTCTCTTGAGGACTGCGGAGGACTCCGTCGTCTACAAATCCATCTAGCCATCCCCTGTGATGGATGTTTAGGTTGCTCCCAATCTTCTGCTGTTAAAAAGAACGTGACAATGAGAAACTCTATACAGTGGCATCTGGCACACGTGCAAGGCCATCTGGAGGGTAAGTGTCTAACGTGAAATTGCTGAGCAAAATAGCTCTGGAATTAGACTCTCCCCAACGAGAGGCAGAATAGATGGAGGAAAAGAGCAGCTCGGTGTCTTTCATCCTGGCTCTGTCCCTTCCCAACTGTGTGGCCTCAAGCGAGTTGCATAACTTCTTCACTCCTCGGTTTCTCAGTCTGTTAAAGTCCTTGCCCCCTTGGGGAGTAGCTGCAAGGTTCAGGTAAAAGAGGCAATGTAGGGCGCGGTGGCTCACGCCTGTCATCCTAGCACTCTGGGAGGCCGAGGCCGGCAGATTGCTCAAGGTCAGGAGTTCAAAACCAGCCTGAGCAAGAGTGAGACCCCGTCTCTACTATAAATAGAAAGAAATGAATTGGCCGACTAATATATATAGAAAAAATTACCCAGGCATGGTGGCGCGTGCCTGTAGTGCCAGACTACTTCGGAGAGCTGAGCAGGAGATCAACTCGGCCAGACAGGAGCAGCACGCATGCGCTCCTCCCCTCCGGTTCTTCCGGGACCCAGGTGGTTATAGCTGCCACATTCTGAGGACTTAGCCCAGAGGCCCTCTGCTATGCACACGCCTACCTCATTGCATGTCTTCCTCACTGAAATTTCCCACCGGGAAAGTGAGTCCCTGTTTACAGATGAGCCAGTGCGACTCAACAAGGTCCTAAGACTGGTAGCCAGGAAGTGGCAGGGTGCAGATCCAAACCCAGGTCTTTCTCTTTTTCTTTGAGACAGAGTCTCGCTTTGTTGCCCAGGCTAGAGTGAGTGTCGTGGCGTCAGCCTAGCTCACAGCAACCTCCAACTCCTGGGCTTAAGCGATCCTCCTGCCTCAGCCTCCCGAGTAGCTGGGACTACAGGCATGCACAGCAGGGGGGAGCGCTCAGAGAGCTCATCACTTACGTTAACGGTCACATGGCCCAGCTCCCATCTCCCCAACGAGCCCGCAAAGGCTTGTTTGGAGCCCGCCTGCATTCCTGCAAATGGAAAGCGATTTGCACTCATTCCCAAGCATGAATCATTTTTGTTTAATCGGCCCGTCTCTGGGCTGGCACCGCCACTGCCACGGCTGCCTGCTCCGCCTCTCTGGCCGCGCTGCTTGGCGGGACGCCCTGTCCAAGCCCTGTTAATTACCAAGGAAGGGGGGCTGCAGGGGAAGGGAGGAAACAGGAGGACCCCGGCAGGGAGGAGGCAGACGTGAGGGGGGGCGGCCAATGGCCAACGCTAATGAAAATGGACATGACTGCCCCCTTCGGAACCCAGGCAAAAATCCCAGGCGGACAGAGAGCAGTTCCTGACTTGTGGGTCTTTTTGGGGCTGCTCCTGGGGGACCAGATAAAGGCGAAAATGATGGCAGGCATCCAGCTGCCTGAAGTTCCTTAGGGGGGAGAGAGGGCTCCCCGCCTCAGTTCCACTGAGCTGGGATTTATCGAGGGACCAGGAGCGGGGAGGTGGGGGGTTGGCTATCAAAGCAACAGAGGCAATTGCAAGGACCCAGAAGTTACTTCCCTGAATTTTTGGCTAGTACAATGGGTGACACACACAGAGGAATTAGAATGTACACACATTTTCCTTCTGCGGCAACAATTCCAGGCATTACCGTGCAGGGGTGGCAGCCAGCCTTTTTCCCATCTCACAGGAGGGCTGATCCTATTAGCTCTGTGGGGCCCCGCTACGCGGGCCAAAAGGGCGAGATTCCAGTCTAGTCTTTCTCGCCTCTTGGCCCATATATGCTGGCACTGCGGACCCAACATTGTCCTGGCTGCCAAGCCTGGCGCCCCGGACTCCAGACTCTCCCTCCGAATAGGTGAGGCCCAGGGCCTAGAATTCAGGAGGTTCTCACTCGTCCATGGTGGAAACAGACTTTCAACCTCGCTCAAGTCCTGGCCTGGCTGGTGAAAGGAGGGGAGGCCGGGCAGGGAAATTTCTTTTGCAAAAGGGACGCAGGCTGAGACAGAATGGACCCTGGGGAGGCCCGGTCTCCCTCTCAGCCGGCTTTGCTAATGGCGGGGAAGGATGGCCTACAGGGCCCTAGGAGGACCCCTGCTGCCCAGGATCCCTTGGGGCCTCCTGCAGGTTCCACGTGGCTCCACAGATCATCTGAAGCGTGGGCAGGGAAGGTGAGCGCGGACTCCGGCCACTCCCCAGCCCGCAGCGGGTGACGGAGCCCTCTGGGAGGGGCGTTTCGCTACGCCCAGGGCCCCCGTCACTTTAAAGGAGTTTTGTGGGGGTTGAGGGAACAAACTCAAAAGGCTCCCACTTGAAGGATGGCAGCTTCCTGCGGTCCCCTTCTCCTCTCTGCCTCCCCCCACCCGCCACACCCCTCTTCCTGAGACCTGGCACTCTGCAGACACCGCTGGCCAGCCACCAGGGTCCGTGGTTGTAGAGTTTGCTTGAAAAGGACCCTCTCCTCAACCTCCCTCTGGCCATTCCGGGAGAGAACTTTTTTAGGCCTGGGTATCTTCCGCAGCAGGTTCCTGTGCATCGGGGAGGGCAAAACCCCAAGGGAGGCTGAGCAAGAATAGCCACAGCCCTCGCCTCCCGCCTGGGCTCCCCCGGCCGCTGCCGGGGAGCAAGTCCAAGGGCAGAGACACGGGGGCTTCCTAGGAAAGGAGTCTTGCTGAAGCAAGGGAAGATACGGTGATGCATGAATAAAGTAATTTCTTGACTACCTGGCTCCGCTGCCAGGCACGGCTGTGCACCGACACGGGCAAGCCGCCTGCCCTCCCCCGGCGGCTCGACGCTCCACAGCTCGCTGGCCAGGTGGAAGGCTCGAGAATCGCGGAGGCCTGAGGAGCAGCCGTGAGCTGGGCCCCCTAAGAGAAGGTGAGGTGGAGTAGTGGCCGGGCAGGGGCCAGCGGCTTCAGGCGGGTTCAGGGGCCTGGCCCCCAGGCAGCAGGCAGAGGGGAAGCAAGAAATGGACAAGGCCGGCGGACTCCAGCCACACCTTCCCAGAAAGTCTGTTCGAGGGCAAGCGGTCACTGGGAGAAGATGACCAGAGTACCAAGTTTTTCCCCTGCCTCACCTCCTCCTCCAAGCCTGTTCCACCCCTCCAGCTCCATTTCCAGGCTTGTTGGCTTGGAGTCAACGAAGACGCGACGGGGGAGATTCTGAAAACCTGTTCTCTTGATGCTGCTGATCCAGACGGGCCCTGGGGGACAGAAACTCAATTGGGGAACACCGACCTGAGGTCCCAAGGCCCAGGATTGGAGGGAAGCAGACAGCGCAGCTGGGTGGGAGGCAAGGAGTTAAACCCAGGCTGCAGGGGGCCTGCTCTGGCTTAAACTGGGAGAGCAGGCGTGTGCGGAAGGGCTCACAAGCCAGAAAGGATTGACGTGTGTCCCCTCTCGGATAAATATTAATCACTTTTTCCGCCTCCTCCTTGTCCTCCAGCTGGACATTACCTTCCCCATTCAGAACTTGCCTTATTAATCATTTCCATAACAATCACCGATAAGTAATAAGATTCATAAAAATTTCAAACTTGGTAGGAACTTTGCTCTGCCCTTCTGTCTTCAGATCAGAGAGCGCACGTCTTTTATTTTATTTTTTTTTTTTTGGGAGACAGAGTCTCGCTTTGTTGCCTAGGATAGAGTGGCCAGTGGCGGTGGCGTCAGCCCTAGTCACAAACAACCTCACACTCTTGGGCTCAAGCCCATCTCCTGCCTCAGCCTCCCGGGTAGCTGGGACGGACTTACAGGCATGCCACAACCATGCCGGCTAATTTTTTCGTGTTGTTTTTATATAAAGATGCAAAAGGTCCTTATTATAGTAAGGAGACGGGGTCGTCGCTCTCCCGTGCCTCAGGCTGGTTTTCGACACTCTTCTGACTTGAGCAATGTCCGCGTCGGCGCCTCCCATGAGTGCTAGGATCACAGGCGTGAGCCACTCGCCCGGCCCGGGGATGAGCCTGCACGTCTTGACCTTCTGTTGGAAAGGAGAACATCGCTTGGCGCTCTCTCACCCCTATTTAGGCTTTAATTCAGAATCATTCCATTCCTGGGATATCCTCGAGAAAACCCGGTCTTCGCGCCCAGGAACATTGGCTAGACAAGGAGTGGAACAAGGGTGGCCGCACTCAGCCTCCCTAATGCCTCACCTTCCTGTTGGCCCCCGCAGGCTTCACGGGCCCCCAGCTGGGCCGGCCAGTCAGACGCAGGACCCCTCCCAGGCCTGCCCTTGTGGTCCTTGGGCGTGCTGATTCTCGGCCCTGGCTGCCTTCCTCCTCCACCGCTGTCTGCTCTGGCCCTTCCTTTACCGTTAACGGATCTGCTCCCCGACGGGGCTCTTTAGCACCCGCAGATACCGGCATCGTTATTCGGATGAAGCCTTTGTGATTGCCATCGATTTAAAGATACCAACAACAGCCAAGGCTTAAACTCTGATGTGATTACAACAATAGCTCAGCTCACAAAACACTCTCGGGGGGCCTCCTGGGGGAATTCTGAGCCACTGCACCGGGGTTCTCTCCTCTGCAGGCAACAGTTGGCCCCCAATCCCCGGGAAGACAAGACAAGAGTTGGGCATAGGGGGAAGGAGGGGTGGGCAGGATTTATGGGGAAAGGGAAGTTTTGCTTGGCTGCTAGAGATGGGGAAGAGAGAATAACATTTCCAAGTCATCAGCAAAATGCATCTTCTTTCCATTTCTAGACACCACCTTACGCAGCTACGGCCCCCAGCCTGGGAGGCGAAGGCTGACAGGCAACGAGAAGCCAGGGGCCGACTCCTCTTGCCCCGCAGGTGCCCCAGGGGCTTGAATCAGCTTGGGCCCGGCGGGAAGACCACGGGTGGCACAGCCTCCCCTCCCCCTTCTTCCACTGCACCCTCCCGGTCCCAGGGTGGGCTCCTGCTCTCTCTGTCCCCTCTGCCCTCCCCACTCTCTTTCACACCATGCGGCCTCCCTATACCTTACACAGGCCCAAGGGATCTGTCCCTCTCAGAAACGAGAAGACTGGGTGCCCAACGACACCGTCGCACCCCTTTCTCCCAGCCCCTCCTTGCCGGCACGGGCCAGGTCTTTTCGGTCTGTCTCTCTGCTCTGAGGAGTCCCCATCCCTCTCCCGCACCATGGCCTGCCTGTCTGCTGATCCATTGGCGACCTGCCAAGCGCTGCTCTGCTGGCTGCCTCGCCTTTATTTATCTGGGCCCCGCTTTCGGTCTCGGACAGGCAAGTGATGGCTGCCCTTAGGCTCCGCTGTTAGGCCCATCCATTCACCCCCACAGTCCTGCCCGCATTGCTGCCTGCCACCCGGCCCACTCCCACTTCTCCTTCATGCTCTTTCTTCACCGTCCCCGGAGAGGGTTTAGAAACCTGCTTTCAGTCAGAGCAGCCACCTCTTGTGCCTGTGTGTAGGCCCCGTCTGGGCCGGCTGTCCCTGTGCAGCCAACCCCAGCTCCACTCTCACCTGTGGCGGTGTGCGCGGGG